ACGTGAACCATAATTTTGTTCTAGCTGAAATTTATTTTCAGAGCTAGACAGGAGTAGTAGTGCTTCACTCAATTCTGGACTCCGGGCTTCATCTACAGCGTCTGGATCTTGATCATCTCGTATTGCCACAACTTTATGAGCATTCAGCACAGTATTTTCTTGCTGTGAGCCGGACACGTTACAAATATTACGTTCTGATTCAGGTATAAAGGGATTTGAACCCTCCACTAGATATGCTTCTGAAATGTCTGTTACTGCATCATAAACAGATTTCTTATTTTCTGGTCGAGTGAAAAGTGTGCTCAATAGTTGTTGTTGCAAGGCTAACAACTTCTGCTGGTGCTGTAATATTAACCGCAACTGTTCTAAAGAAATCGCCATTTTTCTTTAGTTTTTCCCCGTCGCCACTGTTATAATCTCTTCTTCTTACGGTAATGACCCAGCTATTCCTATTGCTTAGTATTCTCGGACACCGATTCACTCGACAAGTCCCCAAATCAGAACACGGTTGAACAGGAATAAGATTATATTCCAAATAGCAAGTCAGAAGCACAATAGGGAAAACGTCAGTATATTTATAGTTTTTACATAAAAAGATTCCAGAGTGTTCTCCAACTATCGGCTAGTGCTGATTGGATAAGAATTAGCCAATCAGCGTGCACCAAAGCAATCATGCATTGAGCATGCTTTAATCCGGTCTATGTCCCGCTAACATTATTCAGTTACAATCAACTAAAGACTTGATACAAATGCATGTCGGGTCAAATTGCTAATTGACCACACGGTGGTATGAAATTTACAAAATGGGGAACAATAGAGTTGAGATAATATTAGACATAATAGTGCAAAAAAACGACATAAAATGTAATTCGAAAATACGGAATGGGTTTGTTTAATAAAAACTTGGAACTCGAAGGTTTGAGGGCTATAATGAAACCATGTGTGGCACGGAGACCAATTTAGACTGATTTCATCTATGGTTCCTACCATGCCAGGCAGGTCGGTTGGAGAACGGTAAGACTAAAAGCACCAACTCAAGGTCTGAGGGCGAAGTCGTACTGCTGACTATGTGACAACAGTAAGGTGTTTCCCTTGGACAACCAGCATCTACAGAGATGCTGCCTTCTCACAAGGAAGCAGGGGGTTAGAAAACGTCGACCATAAAAATGTCACACCTCACCTTACCTCACGGATTTTCGTCCCTGGCAGTAAGGCCTTTTGAAGAACGGAGCTAACACATTAAAAACTCCCCAGAAAAAGGCCGTGCGCAACCGGCTTCAAGCAGCTGTCCCTTGGGCTTGTTGTGGCTAATGTCCTCAATATCTGACTCCAATAAATAATATCCCGTAAACTGAGTATTTAAGGTAGGCTTAATCTCCTAGTAGAATTGCGGATTTACTCGAGATTATTGAGAAGCCTGAACACCAGTTATAGAGATAGTTTATTGTTAATGATTAATAAAAATCCACAAGCGTACGGTGAGCAAGCACACGATGAAACAGAGTGAGTGTGTGTGTTAAAAATCCAAATATATTTTTGAGGGTTATTCGGGTGTGGTGCACATTGCAACCAATAGGAGGATAGCCTAAGGGTTAATGTACAGACATGCATTCGATCATACACACCGAAATTAACATAGTGAATTAAGAGTCTGAGTTACAATGAATAGACAAATGATACAGTGGCCAAATGGGCTTGTCACATGCTCTACAGTGACGCTCCCATGTCGTTAAGACCAACACTAATCCAACTTCCTTTTCAGGTTCTTCAAGAAATACCCTTCCACGGTGTGGGCAGCCGGGAAGTGATATCAACCCTCATACCCGTAACAGCGCACGAAACCAAGTTGGTCACATTCAAATCCTTCCTACACCTCCTAATACCTCTCTTATCTCCATGACTAACCCTCCTCACGTCTCTTTATCATCCCGCACCGCCAGGGAAAACGATTCGAGTACGTGGAACGCCATTCCTGGTCTCCTGAAACCACGCTCTAAACTACACGTAGGAGCTCTTAACGTCCGGACACTGTGACAAATAGGACAACAGGCTTCCTTAGCTAAAACTTTAGAATCCCGCGCCATCGATGTGTGCTGCGTCTCCGAAACGCGCATACAAGATCCAAGTAGCGTCATTCACTTGACCTCACCATGCCAAAATAAAGAACCGACTCGATTCACACTTCGTGTATCTGGAAGCCCTGATTCTGCTCCCCGTGGCCTCGCCGGCGTAGGTATTGCATTGAGTCCTAGGGCAGAACTAGCTCTCTTAGAGTGGATCCCAGTGGACAGCCGTTTGTGCGCTGTCCGACTAAACGGAACAGTAAGGACCCGAAAAGATAGGGACACTCGTCGTTGCCTCTTCGTCGTCTCTGCCTATTCTCCCACTGACTGCAGCTCAGATGATGTAAAAGATGAGTTTTACAGAAAGCTCTCCGACCTCCTCCTTAAAGCTAAGCGCTCGGATGTAGTAATAGTGGCCGGTGGCTTTAATGCTCAAGTAGGTAAACTAAGCGAAAGGGAAAGACACCTGCAAGTAAACCTCTTAGCGCCTTACTTAATGATAGTCAAGCTAAGAGTATATTTCAGGAACAACTAGGAAAACAGTTAGGCAGCCATGTATGTGATGCCCACCTCGAGGCAGCATGGAATGATATCCGAAAAGCTGTGGAGACAGCAGTGATATCTGCTAGTACGGTAACCCGTAAGGTTAGGGAACAACACTGGATCTCAACAGCATCTATCTCACTGACAGATGCTCGGAAACTCATTCCACATGGCTCTGAACATAATGAAGAGCGAAGTCAGCTTAAGCGCAAGCCCACAAGAAGTCTACGCAATGATCGTGAAAAGTGGTGGGTAGCGAAAGCAAGAGAGATGGAAAAGGCAGCGGCAATAATACTTCGACGCCTAACCAAAACTCGTGAAGAGGAGACTAGAGAAAATCAGGCTGGTTTTCGACCTGGACATGGTTGTATAGATCAGATATTCACACTACGTTAGGTTCTAGAACACAGACACACATTCAGACGCCCCACAATGATAGTATTCTCGACCTTAAGGTGGCATTTGACTCTGTTGATCGTAAGGTTCTATAGCAGTGTTTGTCAGTGAAAGGAGTACCAAAGAAGTACATTAACCTTATGAAGGCTCTCTACTCGAACACAACTCGTAGAGTGAGAGCTTATGGCGAACTGTCATCAGAATTGATTACCTCAAGTGGTGTTCGTCAGGGCTGTCCACTCTCTCCATTCTTGTTTAACTTTGTCGTCGACGTACTTTTAGAAATAACACTTTCCTCGTCTAGATTTCCAAGGGTTGAACTTCTACCGGGAGGTTCACTTGTTGACTTAGAATATGTTTTTGACATGGTTTTATTTGGTGAAGACGCTGACAAAATGCAGTCTTCTGACCACTCTAAGCAACAATGCATACATGTTCGGGATGCGATTCTCCTCCTCGAAATGCAAAATCTTGTTTCAGTATCGGGTTGCATTGACACCCGAACTAATGATAGGGAGTGAAGTAATTGAGCATGTCCATGGCTTCACTTATCTCGGGAGTCTCATCAGCCCTTGTGGTCTGGTGTGTGACGAAATCTCATCACGGATACAGAAGGCTCGACTAGCTTTTACCAAATTGCGTCATTTATGGCGTAGGCGAGATATCCGTCTATCAACCAAAGGACGGGTTTACTGCGCAGCAGTTCGTTCCGTCCTACTTTATGGCGGTGAAACATGGCCGGTAAGAGTAGAGGATATTCGTAGGTTACTAGTATTTGATTACAGATGTCTTCGAAGCACTGCTCGTATATCCTGGGACCATCGAGTAAGTAATGCAGTTGCTAGGAAACGGGTACTAGGTAAGGATGGCAAATCAATTGATGAAGTAGTGAAACTTCATCAGTTGAGATGGCTGGGACACGTGTTACGTATGCTCAACGACCGACTGCCTCGACATGCGATGTCCAGTGGTATAGGAGTAGGTTGGAAGAATGCTAGGGGCGGCCAGACCAAAACATGGCACAAGTCCATGAAGTCATTGACAAGTGGTCTGAGCCATGTCGGTAGGTGTAGACTACCTGGTTGGGGACCGCGAGATGATAGCAACCGATGGTTAGAGACCTTGAATGACGTGGCTCAAAATCGTTTGCGATGGCGCAGGTGCATACACTCTTTGTGTTCTCCCAAATGCTTATCTCCTGAATCCTCGTCTCTTTTTTTTCTCTTCCCAAATTTATTTCACTGTATTATACTCTTTAAGTAACATCTCCAAACACTACTCTTCCTGATTACTGCTTATACTCTTGCTACCTCTACCACTACGGGATTTGAACCGACCACTGCATCTCTGTGCTAATGTGGTGTGGCAACTCGAACTGATGTACGTACGTACGAAGTTCTACGTTGTGACTGATTGACTGACCTCTAATTTCTCTGTTTTTAACTTCATTTACTTATGTTAATAAGTTGATTCAGTTTTATTATATTTCACATAAGCATGATACAATTCCTCTTATTGGATTATCTAATTTTCTAACTGTTATAACTATCACCTGTAGCCATGACCACTCAAATTAGAGATCTTAATTGCGTCGTTACTTTTTTAGCACAGATTATGATTATTTCGTTGAAAAAACTGATATTAAAAGTTTGATGAATGTTGCTATCTATCAGTTGTGTAACATAAGGCACATAAGGGCAGTTAAAATGATATAGCTATGCGATTTCTTAAATGTAATGAAATAACAAGATTTTCTGATAAATCTTAGCATTTTATTACTTGGTATCGTTAATTGAAATGTGTAACTTGGATAATGCGTGAGGATTTATTCGGTAGTGCTATTGAATTGTTCATACTCTAAGTCGTTTCTTTGATTTCTGTGATATAATTGTTTAATAAAAAATGGCCATTTTATTTCTAGTTATTTTCTTTTCAAATTTTAAGAACTAGTGAATACATATTGTTATACTATTTGTTGTAGTAAAATACCTCCATATAATGCACACGTCATCTGCTCAAAATATCTACATAGGAGAACAAGTGAATTCATTTGCAGACCAAACTACCAGTCGGAGATTTAATCGTCCCGTAGACCAGCCTTTACAACATAACAGTCTGACATCACGTACAATGAACTTAAACAGAAGTAAGTCTAATTCAGCGTTTATTTGAATGCGATAGATTTTATCTATTGCTGTGACACTTCAGTGATAAACTTCACTTATGAACTTGTTTCTCTCTACTCTCATTTTAGCATCGGTATTTTATCTACTGATAATGTTTTAAGATTTTGTCGTTAATTGTTATCATTTGATAAGAAATTCATAAACTGGGACTATGTATAGATCTTAACTTGACACAGCCTAGTCCAGCTTCATTTACTTGGCTTAAGTTACTCTTATGTGAATAATTTAACTGCTACTTTAGCACTTAAAATAAATTAGTTTAACATGTTCTAAACGCCAACAGTCATTATCAGAGACTGTGTTATGGAAGAAGTTTTCTGTGATTCTATTAAATGAAATTTTGACTGTTAAAATCGATGGTTTGAGGGATGATCGATAGATGAACTCTGATATAACGTGATCGAGCGATGGCAACTCACAAGACTGTATGATTGACTTAACCTCTCGAATGATTAAAAATCAGAGACAGGACCACTAGCCAGATGAGTGATTTTTCATGTAACAAAATAACATACTTATGTACAAAGTAAACATGATAAAATGTCATAAGAGATTGAGGGAAATTAGCTTGTAGGTTACTCATTCTGTAATCAATTAAGACCTGACCGTTAAGCGTAATCTTTGCGTATCGTATCACTTTAACTGCTAATTTCTGTCCTAATAACCTCTAGGTTTCCGTGGGCCAACTATACAATACATTTTAGTCATTTGTTTAGGTATGGACTGGTAACATCAAGAATGGTATTACTCAATTCTTTTCAGAAACCTCATCATTAGTTTCATGATGGGTTAAAAAGTAAAAGTAAAATCAACTGGAGCTGGGCAACATAAACATTTGTAATGGCTCCTAACCCTTTACTTTCTATCTCTGTCCACCCACTTATAGGTTTTAGTGCTCATGGTCGACTCCAGTCGATATCGATGAGGAATGGTGCAGTATAGTTCCTTAACTGCGTTGGTAAATAACGAAATTAGTCAAACATGAGATTGTTTTGGATATATATATTTCATACATCAGCTAATCCAGACAAATTGTAGAAGATATGAATCGGAGAGGGGACAACATGACTGCTCAAAATATTACTCGTAGTTAGCATTTAATGTAGCTTAAAATCGATAATGAATCATATAAACCAGGAGACGGACGTTGGATAAGACAATAAATGTCTACATGCACACAACGATACATAAGGTGCAAGTATAGAATTGACATGATCACGAATAAAAGAAGCACATATACTGAAGTTCACAGTTCTTTATAAAGAGAGCAGATTTATTATTATAGTAAGAATAACTCAATAGTCAAAATGTATCTGAATTATTATTGCTACAAGGTTGTTTCAGTAAAATTTAAGTATGTGGTCATTTTCAGTCTCTAAAAGACAAATACTAAATCAAGCCATTGCCGTGGTCTACAGCTCTTTATTTAGCTTGTTGATATAACCAAAAGATTATGGAAACAATTTATATCACCATTAATTTTCGTTAGATTGAATAAAATAATTATTAATTCTTTTAAAGCTTTAAACTTTCTTAGTACATCTTAAGAGTGTGTGTACAAGTCTGATTATATTCGAAAAGTAACTATCAGTACAGTTTTTTGTATTAGGATTTGAACTTTCCTGGTTACATGAGTGCTAACCACACAACTCAGTTACCTATAGCCAAGTATTTAGACCACGATTTCAATTTATAACATACTCCTTGAAAGTGAAAGCTGCTAAGCCGTAGATGTATATAAAAAACAACTGGAATCCTACCTTATATTTAACTTGTAGACATGAATACCGTAACAATTTCACCTCAATGTTCTTGCTAATGGGGTATGTAAACTTGGACCGATGTACATACATACCAGGTTTTACGTTGTATTTGACCGACCGACTGGTCGAGTAAAACTGGTGGAATTGACTGTAGATGAGAATGACTTTCTACAAACTGCCTTGTCAAAATTAAGTTGTATTGAAATAAAAATTCAAACTGAACTGTTCAAAGTCAAACACACGATTGGCTACTAAATCACTCAGCGTTGCATCAAATATGTTAACAAAGATCATTAAGTTTATTAGGACCCGTGTTTCTTATGAATGGATCTCATAAAAAGTCCAATTATTTATACATTTTATGACATTGATTCATAGTACCACTTGACCATTTTATTCTTTATAAAAATATTTCTTTTCTAGCTATTTTCTGTTTTTTGATTTATTCTTTAACTATTTCTACAGTGCTCAGTCATGGAATATCAATGCCAGTTTCTGGAACGTGGCATCCAACCGACTTCAGGGTAGGTAATGAAGAAACAACTGGTTTGTATCTCAGCTGAAGTATATTATTCTTTATTGGGAGTTGCGCAGAAAAAATGTAGAGACACTGTTAATATGAACAAGTACTCATTACTTCCGTATATAATTTTGAAGTCGTAGACATTTGCCAGTTATACATGATATTCATGTTTTCCCACTATAATAATAATAATAATAATAATAATAATAATAATAATAATAATAATAATAATAATGGGTCGGTGACTTGCTGTCGACAAACGATTATAAGATTTAATTACTCTTATCAGTTGTGTTCTGGCTATAATCCAATGATTCTTCCAAATGTTTATATTATTGTCCTTTTCACATACGACCCATCATTGTTTGATCCATGACTATTATTAGTTCAAGTCATCCAGGATAGCATGGTTTTTTTGTTTAGGGTCTAAGATTTCTTCAGATTATCAGCATTTTCATAAGTGAAATTTCTAATGCTTCTATGGAACATCTGGATAAATGTCGTGTGCTCTTTCCGAGTTTAATTTTACTGAGTTTAACTTGTTTAATTGGTGTTGTCTTTTACATGTCATGTAGGAGATCCATAAAATCTGTTTCTTGTAATTATTACTTTTATTCCATGTAATTACTTATGGTTATTTTATTTAAGCAGCCCGACTACTTACTTCTTCAACCTACACCTAAAAGAAGACGAACTTCGTCCGGATCAACAGGACTTTCTCGCCGATATTGTACATCTTCCAGGAATGGTCATTTTTCTGGCGATTTACCGGTGAATTCATCTAGAAATCTTTCCTATATGTCTGAAATGGTTAACCATCGCTTTATCAGATCGTTGGATTCACGTAATTCCGAAAACGTTTTCCAAAATAATATTTTTATGAATGCCCGCCCGATACATCAGCATTGGCCCCAGGTACTACCAACATCTCAGCATCCTAATCGTTGGCAGAATGAACTTCGACAGGTTACCAGTTTAGTATCTGTCGCTGCTGTCGCAGCCGCCGCCGCAGCTGCTGCTACACAAAATAGTACACACTACCAACAGTCTTTCATATCACCGACTACAACTGTCAGTTCCTCAGAGGTACCTTGTCCTAGTAGTCAGCATTATGTTGATATTACACCACGAGCAGCTAGAGGTTTTACTTCATCTAGATCTAGTTTTGTTAAACGCCCAAACTATCAATTTTCATTTTCTAATGGAGTTGGAAGTAATAAAAGAAGATCGAACTTTCCAGATGCTAATGAAACCCATAGTCAAATTATTATCAACAATGGACATTCATATCATGAATTCGGTAAGTGATATAGTTTTCTTTTTTCCTTCTTCCATTTCATCCATCACTTTACATAATCAATCGGTCTAACATAATTCACATAATTGTGCTATATAGTAGGTATCTCTTCATATTATGTATAATGTAAATATACAGTATGCAATTTAAATGATTGTTTATAATGTACAAGATAGGATTTCCTAATGCTGGAAAATTCAAATAGCAGAAATAAGGGGAAAGATGTAAGATATATTCATTTAATAGGCTCTAATAAAAGATCTCAGGTGTATATTTAAATTAAAGAAGTATTATTATGTTCACCTGAGAAAAGGTTATCTTGCTTATCACCTAGACCGCTTTACTACAGTCAGTGCATATTTATATTGAATGTTTTAGCTAGAAAGGAAGTTAGCTTAAAGCAGATATATCAATTATACAGTGTTATGATTTGTGTTTTTAAAAAGGTAATCAACTTTTTTTCTCGTTCTACAAAAATGGCCTGATATTATGTTATGTAGATTCGGTGAATGTTTGATTTCGTATTCTTGTTGATCACTTTCATATTTGACAATAAACTCGAATATTTGCAATCTTGTTTTTTTTTAATGATAAATATTTTGATTTGATATGATCCATTTACAAGGAACAAGTTTATTTACTCTGCTTCAAACCACTTTTTTTAAATATGGGTAGTGATAATACTCGGCTGTTCAGACTAAAGTAAGTTACCACCAACTGTATTTTAAATTTACGTGTACCTAACAAAGTAGCTACATTGGCCGAACAAAAAGGAGGGCATATCCTAGATTCTTTGGACATGTACCAAAAAGCCTCAGAAAAACTCTAAACAGTGCAATCAAAAAACATCTCCTTGATACAGGACATCAAGTCGATACCTTGCAATCCTTCAAGGTGATTAGTAAGCAGTCAAACTCCAGTCTTATAAAGTTTGCTGAAGCCGTTGCCATCAGGCGTCAAAAACCCGACTTATGTATTCAAAACGAGATGGTTATTAATCTTTCCTTGCCTTGGTGACAAGTATTCCTTCGCTGCATCTTAAATCTTTTTCTTTAAACTCTTTCTTGCATTTATTACATAATTGAGTTTTATTTCAACTATTTTCCAAATTAATAATCTTATTTTATTAACTGTCTACGTCTACTCATTATGTAATCACTTGTTTCTGGCCGTTTGAACTGTTGTCACAATCAATGTTGTAGAATTTTCTTTCACATAAGCTATATATTTACAATATTCAGTCTATTAATTTTATTTACATCCTTGCTACACTGTACTAATATGTCTTCAATACAACTTTCAACTAAACCCTCTCATGTAAGTAATTTAAGCCCATTATGTAATTATGATTTTAAATATCACAGGTTGTTAGCAGCTGACGAGAACCTATGAAATTAAATGAATTCATGCTTTTCTGCTAAAATGTTTGTTCTTGCTCTTTTCAAAATGATAAAGGGAATTATGTGTATAAAGTAAGCGAGATGTGGTTCGAACCTGATACATCGTTTTGAAGCCGATAGATGTAAACATTATGTCAAAAGTTCACACACCAGCATCAGTATTTTCATTGTTAAATGAGAGAGTTTTCTAACACTTAGTTTTTCATTAATTAGTTTGATCTCATTTTCATTTAGGCAGATACGATTATCCGACTAATTCAGTTTTCAGTGTCTTTGTTTAATTAGAACTCCTTAAGTGACAATTGTCACCAAGAATTGCGGTTTCAATATATCATTTTTACTACTATACAGTAGTTTCTGGCAATATTATTTATCAAATAAAATATATTTTAAAGAAGTTCACCGTGAGTAATTTCTCGAAATCTCTAGTTTCAAAGTTTTGCCCTCAAATTTCCTTGTTTGTTGTTATCACAACCCTAACTTTTCACTTCTAATTTCTTCCCCTGAATGTTCTTTACCTATATTGGTATTTCTAACCTCTTTTCTTTAAAATCAACCCAAATTTGCATGTTTTTTAAAAAAAAGTTCTTCAATACTAAATTTATTCTTACTAATTTACACGTATAATTCTTGAAAATTTCAGCTGTCACTGATAAAGATCTACCTTTACCGTCACCATCCTCTTTCTCATCGTCATTAACATCTGCATTACTTTGTAATCCTCAATTGAATTCTTGCCCACCAGATATAATTGGTTCAGTCTCTTCATGTACTCGTCATAATTTGCAATCTGAAAGTAATTATGCCACTATTCGACCTGATTCAGAAAATACTATCAACTGTAGCCCTGAGGAAGAATCCCCCGATTCCATTGTAACAAGTGCTACAGTTGGTAATGCTGGTAAGTCTCTGTTTATTTTAATTTTTAAATATTGTGTAAATTCAGTTGAATTGTGAAAAGTTACTACTAGAATTGAGATAAAAAATAAATGGCATAAATTTAAAAGAAGTATAGAAGGATTATTGTTCTCACACTTTTTGTGCAGACGATTTTCCCCAAAAAGACTTTAAGGTATAGTCCTTTTCATGAGCGGATTATCACAAAGTATTTCGTCTTACCAAAGCGGTCCTAATATAAGTTGTTTACACTGAGTAACAACCACTTTCCATGCTACTCTGGTCATTAGTTTTGATGAAATTTTACCGGGGTCTGTTGCTGATTAAATAGTTCAGTAGTAATATCACTGATTAATGCAAGTTGTCATGGGAAGCATTAGTCTTTTCAATATCGTAGATTTGGTTTACTGAAAATTAAACTAACAGTGAAGGACGTGACACAGATATGTGTCGCCCCGAATGACTGTACTTTATGTCAGCAAAGGACGAAATCAAGAGTTAAACGAACTGATTTGAAGGAAGGTAAACGAAATAAATGAAGTCAGTGGATAACAATTGTTCTAATGGCAATCTAGATCGATACACTTGTGCACCATATCTTTGACATTGACTATATCAGGCAAAAACTCATGGGAATGGCTACTCAGAATAAACCACGTAAAAACGTCTTTTTCATACATTCTGATCCCTTGATAAATTTAAATAAAAAGTAGGGGGGATAAGATTCTCAGAATAAAATGAATCCAATATATTTCAAAGCTTCTCATATGCTGCTAACGCCTACATTATTATAAACTTGTTTTCTAATCTTTTCATTATTTCTATTCAGATCGCTTTTCACATTATTTTTAAATTCTGTATTACAGCAGGTCTAATTCATCGAACTGTGGTTGAACAACTAGATCTACTGACAACTGTTCAGAATTCATCTCATCCTGTTTTATCATCTCATGACACTGATCATAATAATGATTTGTTATCATTTACATATGTTACAAACTGTAATACTGCTCCAATTGTCGAATCAAATAATAACAATAATGAGTCGATGATTAAATCGATTGATGACTCTCATCATCGTCACCACCACCACCACCACCAACAACAACAACCAGTCATTCATACAATAAAATCTAATAATATTAAACTATCACAAACGGATCTTCATCATCAGTCCAGTTCAGTTATGTCAAATAAAAATGTATGTTGTATCCTATTTTGTCAAAAATACATCTATAATTGTTGATATAAATTTTCCACTTTTATCTATATATTCCAAAATGTTTCAGATTTTTATTAGACAAAATTTGCAACTTTTTTTTACAACTTACCAGATACAGATTTGAGCCACATTTTAAGGGCTAGTGATGCTATCCGGTTGCTTAAACTGAAATAGGTTAAGCCGAGGTTCAAACGTACGAATTAGCAACTAAAAGTCCAATGGACTTAACCACTAACCCGTGGTTCCAAATTAAAATGTCATAATTTTTAGTGACTTACTTCCGTTTAACAATAATCATAATAATGGTAATAGTTTTGTTCAATACAATAAATTTCATCATAATAAAGTATTCTCAACACTACTTGTGAAATGTCCCAATACATTTCTGTTTAACATCCATTCAAAGGGTAGATGTTTAAAACATATTTTATAAACACTTTTAAATAGTTAGTATTTTCTATCTATCTCCAACCATTGAAGTTTTCTATCAGTTCATTAGCTACAACTATTTTTCCATCCACCATACTAAGATCCATTTATCCGAATATACATTGATCTTTTGTCTTTTTCAATGGATATACAAAAGAAAAGCCTCCTTATAATCGCAGTGTTTCTGTTTGAGTTTTACAGTATTTAACATCAGTATAATTACATTTAAATTATGAACCGATTTGAGTTAAACCACCATTGAAAACCTGGAAGCACTGGATGGCCGCTTCGTCCTAGTATGGGACTCCTCAACAGCGCGCATTCACGACCCCGCACACGAGATTCGAACTTACAACCTTCGGTATCCCACCGAAGACGTTATTTATTTATTTGAACACATAAATACTGGTACGAGGGGGCACCAGATACATATGCGCCTGTGGTAATGAGAGATAGTCGCGCAGTGTCATGGATTAGCTGAAGCTAGACATTAACAACGTTGATTCCGGTTCCGTGGTCTGGGGGTTAAACATTCGCGTACAAGGCCGAAGGTCCTGGGTTTGGATTCCGCGCGTGGAGTCGTGGATGCACGCTACTGAGGAGTCCCATGCTAGGACGTAACGGCAATCTAGTGCTTCCAGATTTTCGATTTTAGTCTAACATTGACCGATCCATGATTTAAAGAAATACAACAATCTCGACAACCCCCCATTGACAATTAGAATATTTTGTGAGTCTTCTTTAAAAAGCGTCAAGTACATATAGTTAGCAGTTATAATTATTCAGTTTAAACTAATTTAAAACAAGAAGGTTGATTCCGAAATTCGCACCGTTGAAAATTAGATAGCTCGAAAGTTTGAGTGAGTTGCTTAGTAAACTGTATAGTATATCAGAGTGTATGTAAAATATATGTTTACAGTGTTTATTTATCATCAATCAATATACTCTCTTCTTCAATCTTATCTTTTCTTTAAACCTTGTTAGTAAACGAATTGTTAAACAGATGACTTTTAAACAAGCAGTTCATTTAATCTTAAAAATGAACATTTATGCATTAGGATATTTATTGTTTACATCATATCCTAAGGTCATAAGATAAATAAATATTGTTATGTACAATTCATGTATAACAGATAAACATACCGTGTATATATGATCATACCTTCTTCCAATTAGCATATGAGTTCCATCATCCTACTTAACTTTCAATGGAAATATTTTGTTCTCAGCATCCAATTTTCAACCATTGAATTGCATATTTGAATCCTTGTTACACCTAATTCTGTTTCAATAAATAGTTTCATTGGCTTTTAGACAAAATTCTAATTGAAGACCGACTATACAAACTTTATTACTCATCTTGGTTAATTTAAACATACTAATCGTATTTGTAATGCTATGTTTTATATACTTTTAACTATTACATCTCACTCTTTATTTTCATTTTTAAGCCAATCACCTCTTGTTTTAATGACTTCAACTCAAATGAACGAACAGTTCATCAATACCTCATTCTAATATCGACGAAAATATACAGTTGACATCACCTTGTTTTTCTCATTCTGAATTAAATGAGTCAAGTACAAACTTTGTAATGTCATCTACTTCTCAAACGGAAGATGGTGGTGGTGGTTGTGGTGAAGAAGCTACTGTTGTGGCAGCAGCGGCGGTTGTCGCCTCTGCTGCAGCTCATGCAGTCGCTGCTGCTGCTCAAGCTGTTTCTGCTGCTGTTCATCATCGACGAGCATCATCATCATCATTAGATCAAACAATTTCATCACAATTGAATGAATCTATTCTTATGCATACAATACCTAATCAATCGACTATTCATCATCCACTTATGGATTGTTCATCATCTGTTGGATGTTACAATAACTATCCCTCGACAAATCAATTGGTTTCTTCTGATCTATATCATCATCACAATGGACATAGTAGCATGTTACATGAGCATGGACTAAATTATAGACAACCTCAGTTACTAGCCAATCTATCATCTGGAAATATGTTAAATTCCTTTAGTATTCAGCCATCCACAACTTGTAATTTCTCTTCGTCTCAGTCTATTTTTCATCCTTCACATTTATACTCATCTATGTCTATTGACAACAGAAGTGATAATTTCACCTGCGACTCAAGAATCAATTTACACATTCCGAATATTTGCACAGGTAATTAATTAATAACTTTATTATAAAGCTAATGTATAGCAAGTTTTATTTATGGTAGTTTGTGAAATCTCTGTGTACCGTTATTTTATTTTATTTTAAACACGTAAATAATGATAAAGCTGGGCACCAAAATAAATATGCGCTACACAAATAAGAAAACGAAACTGTGAAGACAGAAATGAAGGAGAAAGAGAATTAATTAGAGAGAATATACTGTAATAAGAGAAACAAATCAGTTTGGAGAAAATACAAGCAGGAGGAATTTTTCAGTCAAGTGGTTTCCTTAGATTTTTTGTGAAGAACGTGATGGAAAACTACTGTAGGATCGCCATCAGACTCTATTTTGAGCCCTCATGATTATTTTAACCAATCGTTGTAAACTTTGAGTGACATGGCTCAAAATCGTTTCAATGGCGCAAATCCACTCATTCTTTGTCTTCTCACAAATTCTGAGCTTTTGAATTCCTCATAACGTCTTTGTCTTTTCATTCCACTAAATGATATTTCCTCAAATCGCATCTTCGATGCTTAATCTTTCCTACTACCACTGATACTTTTACTAACTCTACTACTCTAGGATCTGGTCCGACGATTTCATCTCTCAGTCTTAATTGGGATATGGCAACTTGAACCAATTTACATACGTACAGGTTCTGCGTTGCGACTGACTGATCTTGAGCCATGTCTGGTAATGGCTTATGACAGTAAGTGGGACCATCTATATGACCTTAACCGGGGAATATGTGATGGACTGACAGATGTGAGACTTGTATGGCTTTTTTCATGATTACGGTACTATATCATCAACTGACTACCTCCGTTTTTTTCAAGTCGTCCTAGCATCTGCAATTAGTTCACAATCTTAAAGCCGCTGAGATGATATTCTTAGCACATTTCTAAGCCATGTAATCTACACTTAATCAGTTGACAATCAATGTCTAGGTATAACATATGCTTTGCACTCTGTGAGTGCGAAGTGCTTTTACAAAACTGACGAGACTCTGTGCCTGAACTCACTCTTAGTAGTAAGTAGATAGTAGTTGGTAAGTTCGTGTATTTGGGTAGCTGTAAATGCTAGTGGTTGCGTGAGTGATGAGATCAACATACATATGGTAAAAGCAAGGGTGACTTATGTCGATCTGGGCCACCTTTGGCGCCTTCATGATGTCAGTCTGGCTGTAAAAGGTCGGATCTACAACGCGTCGGTGAGAGCGGTTTTGCTCTATGTTTGTGAAACCTGGCCTCTCTGAGTTGAGGATGTTAGACGACTCTCTGTGTTTGATCATCGTTGTCTCCGAAGGATTGATGACATCCAGTGGCGACACCATGTTGGTAATGCAGAGGTTCGGGCTCAGAGACGATAATCCAATTAGTGTCACCATCTTGAAGCATCGACTTCGGTGGCTTGGACATTTTCTACGAATGTCGTCCCAGAGAATTCCTCGTCGTGCATTCTTTGCCGACTCTGGTACTGGTTGGAAGAAGCGGAGAGGTGGTCAGTGTATGACATGGTGTCGTGGTATGAAAGAAAGCTTTGCAGGACTGGCTTCTGTTGGTCCTTCATGACTATCTGGTTGGGGTCCTAGAGATGGTGCCTCACAGTGCTTGAATAAGTTATCAGATATGGTTCAAAATAGAAGCCATTGGCTATTTTGCTGTAATTTCCTTTTACTTCTCCATTAAAAAATTAACTTCTTTAACTTTAAGGACTCTTTCTGATTGAATCTTTCCTAAGTGCATTGCTTCTCCAATAAGTATAAGAAATATTATTGTTATTATTTCACTCTAACACACTAATTCGTGTTCATTGTCGCTCTTTTTTTATTACACGCACCCTCCATTATTTATCACTTCACAACCTCACTGTTTTTATGTTGAGCATATATATTTATTGCCTCTTTGTACCAATGTTTATGTGTCCAAATAATAATTTACTGGGGTTTTAATATGTTCACAATCAAATTGTTTATAAGAACTTTCTGTAAACATCTATCTTGTCATTATGCACGACATACTTATAGAATTTTAATAATATGTGTTTTTCTGTCTCACCGATCTAGGCCAAATTCCATCGTCTTCTATGTTACATCCAATTATACCGGCTTTCTCCAACTCCAATGGTTTAACTCTCATTCGAAGTACTAATGAATTTGTGAACGCTTCTTATCCACTAGCAACAGTCCGACGTATTACAAGTGAACCGCCCGACAACAGTTTTGAGTTCACAATGCGTACTTCAGGATTTACTGGACCCCATACAGCACGACCACATTTCATCACTACACCGCTGACCTTCTCAAATAGCGTGGAACCAACTTTACTGAACAGTAATTTTTCAACTCCTATCAATCCATCCCATTATCATCAGTCATCTGTCCATCCGAATCTAACTACAGTGGCTACAGAAGTCGCCGCTGCTGTTGCATTAGCTGCAAATCATTCATCATCATCTGTCATCAGTCGATGTACTGATCCTAGCCAAATAAGTTTCTTGCCAAACAATATTGTAGGCTTATCATGTGGCTCTTCTAACCATCGTTTTCCCCATATTTCCCTCCATCATTTCCTTCCGTTACACCAATTCCTCTACTACCGTTAAGATCACCACAGTTATCGGTCATCGGTTCGTCTACACTGGCTACAACTCGTGGAGTAAATACTTTACTACAATTTCTTCGATTAATTCATCAAAGACCTGTAAGTTTGCGTACATTTTAATAAGTGTACATATTTTTGCTCCATAAAAATGTGTAATCTAGTGTGATGCGGACCAAAAAATAGTAGGAAAGATATTGAATAATAATGACTTGGATCTGTTAACAACGTAGGAAATTTAACTACACAGGTAAAATTTGGACGTTAATTGCTAAATTTTAGGTATGACGTGTTTGATTGATTAAAAAATCCACAATTATAAAGTTTAATTACTTACTCTAAAATGTAGCATATAGTCCAAAGTAAAAGACCATAAATAATTCAGAAAAGATGTGATCTATGCATGTATGTTAATGATCTGTCAATATGGCAGTTGGTTGAATGAGAATAAAGAATGGTATGAGCAGTGGTGTGACCAGCAATCGGCGTATCATGCAAGCAGAAAGTTCAAGGTCAGGCTTAAAAGCTTGGATTTTCGAACTGAATATTATCTAATTTGTAATGCGGCAAAACTTGTGATCATCTTATTTTCTCAGCAACAGTCATAACATCAGTCTTCATCTATTCAGTTTCTTGTTATCACTGAAATTATTTTTGATTTTTTTCTAAGAAAAAATCATGTGCCGGATGTTATTACAACTCCTGCATATCTGTGACTACATCAGGGTGTGTTAATTTCTGATGAGTCCTATACTAGATAGTAATAGTTTTCTAACTAGAATTAATTTATGACGGGAAGCTATGGTATCTTACCAGTCGATCAATGCTAATCGGTAGCGAAATATGCGTGATAGAAGCTGCCAGAAATTATTCAAAAAGGTTTTCATTAGTCAAGAGAAGGCCTAAGGCATTTTATCTGAAAAGCATCCAAGGGAAACTTCTTGGTAACTTGTAGAGAAATGATAGGTCATATGTCATACTCTTACTACATTAATATCTATTTTGTTATGGATGCAATGTGTTTCCAGGTGCTTTCAGATTATCATGGTTACCTATAAACTTATAAATACCCTTCTCTTTCGCACATCAACTTTGGAAACAAAGCTTGTTTTCAAAGACCTCGCCGCTCACTTCAAGTTCCAAATTAAAAGAATCTTGTCGTACTAGTTAAGCAGTTACGAAGTCATTATTATGCGTCCGAGCACCATATGCATCATGGCTCAAAATAAGTTCCACAGATGCATTTACTTTTTTAAAAATCTGAGTTTTCATATTTGCTGAATTGAGCCGACGTAGTCACATTAAATATCTACTCGTACATGTTTGTTTTGAACCATATTATTTTCCCTTTTCCAGGACTCCTATGCATTACCCTATTATCCTTCTGCTATGACCGCTACAGCTGGTGGCTCTAATCAAAGTGTTGTTGTCAGTGCTTCAGCTGGGATAGCTAATGGAACTCGAGTTGCATCAGCTGTTACACCACCTCTATTGTCACATCATCCTATTGTTCCTCTTCAAGCATCGTTTTTATCTAATTATGCAGAAAGAGAACATATTACTACACAAGCTAATAGTCTATTCATAAATAATCAACAAACATCGATCTCACCATCGATTGGTATTCAACCAATCACTTCAGCTACTGCTGCATTAGCCGTTGCTATGGCCGCTGCTGTTGCTTTACAACAACAAAATCATAGACATTCATCATCAAATTCCATCTCTATGCTTACATCATCTAGAGTTGCACCAACTACACCTTCGATACCAGTTCCAATATTGCATGCCCATTTATATTATCCTAGAAATGTAACAACTGTACAACAATTACATAATGCACATCAACAATGCTATCATAATCACTATGGCAGTAGTGCTGGTGGTGGGGTACAGTATCACAGCAGTCATTCTCAAAGACCTGCTTCTACGCCTAATACATCAGCAAGTAGTTGTTCATCAATTAATCCGGTGAATTCGTTATTTTCAGCCTCTAGTGTTGGTGTCAGTGGTGGTGGTGGTGGTACTACATCGCCAGCATGTTTGTCTAATTTATTCCCATTTTTATTAGCTGTCCCTCCACCACCTACAGCACTATTACCATTACCATCTCCTGTTTCAAACAATCCGTCCACTACAAATTTCGCTGTCAGTGACTTATCAGAAACATTATTTGCTCATTATACTGCTGCTGCTGCTGCCGCCGCCGCTGTCGCCACTGACCATTCTACTGTATTTTCACACAGAAATTCAATCTTACCTCAAGTCGTACCGGATCCAACTTCAGCAGCTACGGCGGCCGCAGCGGCAGCTGCTGTTGCAGCAGCGGCTGCGGCGGCTAGTGTCGATCAACTGTTACATTTGGCAGTTCAATTAGAATCGAACAATGGTCGTGGTCTTAGTAAAGAGGAATTGGAAAGTTTACCTATTCGTTTGTATACATCAAAACATTCTGACAGTTTGTCTGGTGATAAACAGAACACGACTATTTGTAATGAAGTAAAAACCAACGTACAGAATGATGTGTCTGAATGCGATAGATGTATGATTTGTTTAGATGATTATGCAGATAGTCAACAAATTCGTCAAATGCGTTGTTTGCACGAATTTCATGCAAACTGTGTTGACAAATGGTTAAAGGTTAGTACCTGACATTTTGTACTTTTACACGGTTGTATTATCATCTTTGAATTGTTTTTATTTAGATTACTATTATTTATTATTATTACTTCAGATAGTTACAGTAACCCATTGTTTCACTTATGTGAAAAAAAAGAACAAGGAAACATGATCGAATCCTTTATGGAACATCAGTTTCCTTAAGAGTACTGGTGTATTTACACCCTGCTGATAGGTAGTGTCATATAACACAAAACCCAAGTCTATAATAAACCTGTTCATCATTTCCAACCATCTTTCACAAAAATAAAGACTATTTCATAAAGAACATTTTTATTTTTCAAGACATTTTCCACTGATTAGTTTATTGTATAACAATATAATTTATATGAAATATTTGTTGAAATTAAAATCATTACAAATCGATAAGTGATTGGATCGGAAATTTGTAAGTTCTTATGAAAAGTACTATTCTAAACGATCTAAATGTAAATCATTATTTAAGAAAAATATGTATATATTATCCTTTAGTATCGTGAATTGTATAAAATAACTATGCATTACAATTAAATATTTTAGTTAAAAACTAACCAATCATAATGAAGTAGAATTTTAGCAGAATTTTAAGGAATTCAACCCAATTCCTACCGATAAATTCTAGAAAAAAAAAAAGAAAAGATCAACCATCTTTCTTTTCGTCGATCAAATAAAAACTAGATTCATTTAATAAACATAGATCCGGTATTTGTTTCAGATATATCTAGGGATTTTAAATAGTTTTATACAATAAGCAATTTGGAAGACTCTTACGGTCTCCCACACTGTATGAGCATTCCATGTACTTAAATAAATGGTTGCTCTGGTTGTCAGAAGGGGTATAAACCTCGTGACTCCCGAAGGAAATCGGCTTTCACCATGAGGCGTCATAATTTTTATAAATGAAGACCTGACTCACAGGGTAGAATTTATTTTTTTCTCGTTTGCGCTTTTTTAGCGAGTTAGTTTTCTACAGGATTGGGTCGCTAACCCCATGTCTAACCCTCCTCCTTTATCCGGGCTTGGGACCGGCAGTAGCCGAAGAGGGGCTCAGGCGGAGTTATACAATGATGAAAATTAAGTCTCAAATCATATGTGTCTGAATATATTACTATAGACAATGAATTCTCTTTTACGTTTTATATGTTATATAGAGAACTTTTTTTATAATGAATACTATTTAGGTCGTTAAAATCAATTCACAGAATAATACTGACCGATAGATGACGTGCAATAGTACTACGATTTGACTGACTCATAACAATTTATGCAACCGAACGCCATTACCGATAGCTTTTTGCTAAATCCCATGTTATTTTACGAAATTTTGGGTGGATTGGATGATTTTCTTGTGACATGAAATAAGTGTTGGATTCAGTATGCTTGCGTTAGGAGTACAAACTTTAGCAGGTACTGGAATTTCCATTCTAATGTTTATCAATTAACCCTCATAAGCTTATGAATCGTGTTGAAACTCCAGATCCTTCGTCAATGTATCGGCTCTTTCGTAATATAGAGCTTTTTCAGTGGTCTGCTTCCTGATTAGTTAGTCTTAAGGTTACTCTTAAAATCACTTAGGGCCGTCAGTATAATATAATTTTATTGAACTTGGTTATTTTACCATAATAAAACAGTAACTACGGAAATAGAAGTCTCATGAAACATATAGGTCATTGGAAGAAGATTATGCAAATCATTAATAAAAACACGACTATTAGGCTTCATCCTTACTCTTCAGTTTGTCGTCATCATTATTCCTTTCGTCACTCACTAGTTAAAACTTTGGCGATGCTAACGGAAGTGAAATTTTAAGTTGACGTTATGATCTTTGTTATGACTTTAAGTTGCGGTTGATTTCTACCCTGTGTTATCGATCGATTACAATGACACGTAAACACGTACGAACGACCTAGAGTCTCGATTGGTCCCACTTCCCTGTCTAGCCCAGTCAGTTGAGTCCAGAACACAAGTCACAGCCTCGGAGATATGAATCATTATATTTCAAACATACTTTGTTTATATACCAATCAAGCACACCACATCGTACCATAAAATAGAAAACAACATTTTGTACAATATACAACAAGTGAACAGATATCGACCAATAGGAAATATCCATTTAAAGTCCAAGGACACCATTGGACTTAACATGATAATTATTGGTCTATTCCTCTGCATCCACAACACCTCCCCTTTTTTTTGAAGATCCGGAGTTGATATCCGGATTTTGAAATTTTCTGGGTTCATCCTCCCCCACGAAATAATGTTGGGTCCTCATATTCCCAAGTTAGAATTAATTTGACTTTATTTAACACATAATTGTCAGATTGAACAGGGGAGTCACTGAAAGTGATTAAATAGTGGGGAACAATGTCGCTTGATATGAGGTCACCAACGTTTGATTCTTCTGGAACATTGTCACGGGATTTGTTGAAAATCTCATTTGTAAACAGTTGATCACTGCGATAATCAACATCTATCAAAATTGTATTAGATTTCTGATCATCATTTAATGCATTTAACACATTTTCTGGTACAAAAAGATCTAGATAATAAGATTCGTCAGAATCTCCTGTTGTTGAATGATGAGGACCATTTGAAACAGCTGGATTCAGTGTACCGCACGATTTGTTCCCTGTTCCGTTGTGGGCGGGTACTGCAATTAATTTATGAGCATTTAATAAGAGATCCTCCTGTGAGCTGGGTACATCACTGTCTGTACACGTTTCAGGAACAGTGGGATTTGAACCCACGACAGGGAACGTTTCGGAATTTGACATTTCTGGACAACTGGGCGGACCATGAATAACTGTCTCGTTTACATCACTGGTCGTCCGGGATTCACAGAGGCTTTTATAAACAGCTTCATATGTTCTGCAGTTGTTTTCCAGCTCAGTCTGCAGATGAGAAATGAATTTACCAACTTCTGTTGCACCTCCGAAACATGGAACATTTACCAACAGTGTGCGTAAATTTTCTAAAAAATTTAACTGGCTATTTTTGAAGCACTGCTGTTGTTGCTCAAGTAGAAGCTGTAATCGATCGGAAAAGGTAGTCATTTTTTTTTCAGCACCTGCAATGAAAATTAACTGTAGGAATAATGACCAATGTTGCTCAAGGACGCTGGTGACAATCTGGATGCTGATTGGTCGAAACAATTAACCTGAATCTCGTCCAATTACAAGGTTCAAAATTTTTCTCCACCCCGTCGCCAATTGTTATGAATTTAAGTTGTGAGACTGCAGGGTTTGATAAGCAGCGTATTTATTGATCGATCGCAGTACAGTGACACGGAAAACACGTATGGACGACCTAGTGCCCTGATTGGTCCCGCTTCGCTGTCTGTCCTAGCCAGTTGAGTCAAGAACGCAAGTCACAGCCTCGGAGATATGAATCATTATATTTCAAACATACTTTGTTTATATACCAATCAAGCACACCACATCGTACCATAAAATAGAAAACAACATTTTGTACAATATACAACAAGTGAACAGATATCGACCAATAGGAAATATCCATTTAAAGTCCAAGGACACCATTGGACTTAACATGATAATTATTGGTCTATTCCTCTGCATCCACAACAATCTTATCATCAGTTCTATCAACCAATTGAATTTTTATAGTCGTCACTATAACTTAGCATTATATATGTTTTCATATTTTGTTGTAGACCAAGCGTACATGCCCTCTATGTCGTGCTGATGCATTCACTGGAAGTCAACGTAAAGATGATTACTTTTGAGGAAACAATAGACAAGCAAAGCAGAAAAAACATATATTGTCATTATTATTACTGTTTATTTACTTTACAATTTCTTATATCGAACTTCATTTTATGAAGAAAACATTCTATACCACTATGAAAAGCAGAAGAAAAAAATTTATTTATACATCAAAGTAGTTTGTTTACAATTCACTTTTGTCTTATCTTCCTTTTTTTTTAAAAAAACTATCTCAATCATGTTTTTTGCCCGGTCTTGCTTGTTCTACTATTGTGCTTTTTTTTTACTCAATTCTCGTCTTGTTCAATTGTTTGATTATTTTGTGAAGACAGAGGAGAATAACAACTTTACTCGGTTACTATTATTATTACTTACTTAGTTACTCATTTACTTCTCCGCTCGCTGTGTTATCTCTCCTATCAGCCATATGTTTGTGTGTGAGTAGAGTTGTTTCGTGTGTGTGTGTGTACGTAGTGTATGCGTTTGATGTTGTTGTGTATAATCAGACTAACTCGTCAATTTATTTGGTTGATTTCACGCATTTAACTTTCCTTTATATAATTAATGGGGTTTTTTTACAATGAATAAAATTGGGAAATAATTGTTTATTATTTGTGAAATTATTTTTGTTTGTTAATTCTTTTCTTTCGGAGGTCTGTTGTTTTGTTTTGTTTTTGTTTTTATATAAAAAGTAATGATAACTTTTGGTAAAAGACAATTTCTTTTTTTTTTACACCAGCTCTTGTGTATTTGAATAATTGTGCATGCTTATTGTTGCGAAAATTTCTCACTCATTCATTCACTCACTCTCTCTTTCTTTCTCTTTTTGTTTCTATCTACCAGCACACAATTTTTTTTGCTATTGACAGAAAACTGAAAAACCACAACAGTGTTTTTTTTTCATATTTGAAATACCAACTTGTTTTTCTGTGCAATAAGTAAAATGGTTTTGTTCTTACGTAATATTTTGGTTTCTCAATCACATTTATTGTTGTTATGTTGAGATTATTTGATTTTGCACTTAATTTTGATAGCAGCTTATTAACTCTATTATATTTGTTTATATCATGTGCATTTATGTATTCTCGCGTTGATAATGATTTATCTATCTGCTCACATTCACACAAGGCTACTATACTCATTTGTTTGATTATTTGTTCAGTAAATATATATGTATACTCTTTCATTTTTGACTACAGCTATTCACTATGTTTGACCTCGCATTATATATATATATATATATATATGTAATCAGGAATAATGATCGCCATTAAGATTTCCTGTTAGCCTACAGTTTATTTTATTTACGGATGATTGAGACTTCTAATACGACTCAACGAACAGGAACTCTTATGAACTGCATGTTTGTAATACAACAACACTTCAACGAGATTTCTGAGATAATTTCATATCCCAGATAAAAGTCAAATTTGATTGTGGAAAATTTTTTTTAGTAATATTCAATGACTTTAGGTTAGAGCAAAGTTACCAAACTAAAAGCAATAACAAGTGAATGTTCTTGCGGAAAAATGAATTAGGAGAATTTCATTGAGCTTATCCTTTAAAGAAAAAACCAACGTGTAACAACTAAAAACTAAATAACCTGGTCTTTTCTTGGTAAATATATAATTGTTCGAGTCTCCATTCACGTAAACTTGAACTATTTTTTAATTCTGAAGTTATTATTATCATTATAAATATTATTTGAAGTTGATATATACAAGACTCCTTCAATAAGCTCAGATGGGATATTATTTATCAGTTTTAGTTGAGATCACGATTGTTTCTTCTCTTACCTGTGAATTGTATTCGAAGCCGTTTTTATGAAGCTGTATGATGTCACTATGTTCTATTAATTAAAGTTAACCTATATATGCTTATAATTTACCTCCACATGTAGTCCCTCTAATTTACCAAGATGCCATAGTTTTACGTACCTATTAATACTAAACTATTCAAAAACACAAGTGTATATAACAGTATTTTTGCTCGTTAAACATATAGTTACAGTGATAGAACGATTCACCTCGTTGTAAATTCTATAATTTTTAGGTTATTAGATTAATGGATTACTGTCATTGTATAGATAATATCCCAAAGAAACTACGTTTCCTACTAGCTAGATTTAAAAGGAATTATTATGAATTAACGTAATTGAAATCTGTACAATCTACATCAGTCTACCCGATATACATTACTTATTAATCAAGTTTATCAGTATGGGGTTGTGGATATTGTTGAGTTTAGATTGATATCATGAATGGATCAATGTTAGACCACCAGTGAAAACCTGGATGCACTGGACAGCCTTTTCATCCGAGCATGGGACTCAGCAGTGCGCATCCACGATCACGTGCGACGCGAACCTAGGATCTTCTGTCTCGCGCACGAACGATTAACTTCTAGCCTTCCAGGTTTTCAATGATGGTCTAACATTGATCCATTCATGATATCAATCCAAAATCAAATTTATATCAACTGTTAGTGTTAAGATGAGGGTATTTAAACAACCTCAATAAATTAATTGTACTTATTGGTTGTAACATTTTAATATTACCGTACTCTAAATTGTGTTTAAAGATTAACTTATTGGTTACTACTCAGATTAATTTGGTCGAAATCTGGCTATTAATCAGTGTACACTGAATCCTCATATGTTGTCTGCCGTTTATTTCTTGCAAAGAAATCTATGCTTGTTTACTGATTACATTCCAGTTTGTAACTATTAATATAGCATCTGTCAGTTGCTTTCAGCAATACTACTTGTGTTGTTTATCTCAGTAGTGTGAATTGATTTAATGTTAGTTGTGTTTTGGCAGTTTGCCTTAGTTACATGTTAGGATTTAAATTTCACAATTGAGATTAAGGATTGTATTTGATCGGTCTTTATTGGTAATATAGGCATCCGGAACGGGCCGCTTTAATATTACCTTTAATCATAAATATATTTGGATTGTGACTAGCAGGTGAATCAAAGGTGAATGTTTCGTCAAACTGAGGACCCGTCAACCAGACTTTCTTCCAACGTCTCGGTATCAGTTCACACACTGAGACTCGAACCGAATAACTTTCGCTTTAAATGCTCATAGGTTATTCATAAAGCTATCTAGTCAAGATGGTCTCTGGTTTTTATAACAAGTATGAAGTTATATGTAAAGGTTTGAATTATTTCGTTATTATTAAGGTTTACAATTTAAGTTTCAAACAAGGTATTTAACTATATCACATGAATTATGTGCTGAATAACTATTAGTTATTATGGTGATTGAGAAATTTTTGCCGTAAGCAAACTTTTCTTACCAAAGAATGGATATAGTTGGAACTTTGAATAAACAAATAACTACTACAATTTATCATCATCTCATTAGCATACCAATCTTAAAATTTTTTGACAGTTTTAGTTGGAAGCAGATATACTGACAACTAATTTACAACAAGTGATTGACTGTAACCCGAATATTACTGATGTTATCCCATTTTTCCCTAGTTGAAAAGGTTTAAATCAATTATACTTGTCAACAACATATACTCAAGTACCACTACCACAGTGCTTCGTATATCTTTTACCGTTTGATTCGTCCCTTGGAGAAACGCAAGCCAACTATCATACAATTTACTAGTCACATATTCAGGGATATGAAGAGATAGCTTGCAAGGGTAGGCTGATAGAAGTTATTCACAGATGAATAAAAATATTCAAATCAATGTTGATGAAGTGATGATATCCTTCGGTATTACAAGTTTGTTTGTTTCAGTCGAACCAAGCTTAGCATAGGATACTTTATCGCTTCCTCACACTACTGACATAAATCTATCAAAGTATACAAAACGTCAAAATCTACCAGAACTCATCGATTTGTCCTTAAGAACATATTTTCAATTCAACAGTAAGATCTACGGACAGACACAAAGAGCAAATATCAGGACTTATTGAAGAAACAGTAATTCACAAACTGAGAGTCTCGATTTCATTATGTGGATGGCACATTTGTCATAATCAAAGAGGACCTAAAATTTGGTCAGAAATGTCTTCGATGATGGGAAAGAAGTTGAACAACAATCTGTCATGTTTGAATATGTTGATGAGAAGAAACAACACAGGAAAACTGGAGACTCAAGTATGTTGGAAACCATCTGAAATATATCAACTTCTCAACTTGCTATAACTGTGAAAAATACTACGGATTAAGGGTAGCGAATTATTGATCGGACCAAAGACGCACAAACACGTAGAACGACCTAGGGTTCTGATTGGCCCCGCTTCCCTGTCTAGCTCAGTCAGTTGAGTCCAGAACACAAGTCACAGCCTCTGAGTTATGAATCATTATATTTCAAACATACTTTGTTTATATACCAATCAAGCATACCACATCGTACGATAAAATAGAAAATAACATTGTACAATATTAACCAGTAGGAAAATGACACGTGAAATAAATACTGACCAATAAGTAAATAATACCATCTCCAAGTGCAAGAATAGCATTAGACTTAACAGGATAATTTTTGGGATATTTTCCTGAATATCCCAACACAACTACAGGAGCAAGAACCCACAAAATCAACTTCAAACAAGAATTATTTGAAAAAGCAAAGGGACATCTACAAATGATTGATCACTGGGTAGTTTGTCAGATCTTGTTTAGTGCAGGTCGAATTCTATCGACCAAGTTGCAATATGGCCACTAGTCTAGGTGATTTGACATCGCATACACTGTGTTGAGATGTGATGCTGGTTGGATGTAGTCGACAGGAGGCCATGGACCTAGGTTTCGTACTATTTAGCACTCGCCAGCAAAATGTACCTGAACTGATGCTCCCATCAGACTTCCAAGCGAATCCTCTTCAAAACAACTTATTTGGTTTAAGTGGGAAATATCCATTTTCGTTTTCCTATTTTTCAACCCTCAGTGATAAGTTAGAACTAAAGATATTGATAGTATTTTGAACGGAAATCAATAGGAATTTTCAGAGATACTTCAAGAACTCCTTTGATTGATAAAGGTATTTTACGTTATGA